CCCCCCCCCCCCCCCGCCCCCCCCATCCTCTCCCGGGCCCTTTGCGCCCCCCCGGCCCCTGCGTAGCTGGCGGGCCCCGCGCCGCCCGCCCTGCCCTTCTCATCCCCGCCGCGCGCCCCGATTGAGACAGCGGGGCCCAGCGGTGTTCACTTGGGGCCTGACTGGAGTCGAGATCGCGACTGGCAGCCGCTGGTTGTAGCGCAGTCCCGGACTGAAGCCGTTAACCTACCGATGCGCACTCCGTTGATAGTCTGCTCTGCTCCCCCCCCGCGCCTGCCCTCGCCCGCTTGCCCGAGTCGGTTGGTTTGGTCGGTGGCAGCCCGCAACTAATTTCGAAACTGATTATCAGGCCGGGCTCTGAAGCTCTGAGGCGCGCGCCTGCGCGTCTGCCAGGCCACGCCCTGCGCGCCCCCCCCCCCCCCCCACCGCGTGTTCAAGCCTACTCGTCTTATTCAGTGCTGCCTCCTCCTTGCGAGACTTCTTGCGGGGTAAGACGAGATGGATTATGTTCGCCCCGCGAATGCCAGCGCTGCGGGTGACGGATGGAGCGGGGCGGCGATAGCAACGACGAGGTTGGTTTACGTAGTTAACGCAGGGGGCGGGGGCGGGGGCGGGGGTGGGGGGGGGGGGCGGGGGGCGGGGGGTGAGGGGGGGGGGGGGGGGGGGGCGGGGGGGCGAAGATAACGTCGCTTCGCGCCGCGTCGCATTCTGGGCCAAATTGAGCGCGGGAGTGCGAGGCCATCGCGCATCACCGCGCAAAACATGATAACCTGTGTCTCGCGACGCCCATGCAGTCCGCCGCCCGCATCCCCCTCATTTCCTTCGCGCGCCGCTGGCAGCGGCGCCACCCCGCCGCCGCCTTGCGGCGCCGCCCAGCGGCCGCGGCAGCTGCGAGCCGAGCTGCCCCCGCGGCCGCGGCGGCGAAGGCCCGTCGGCCCTCTAGGCCGCGCCCTCGGCCTCCGCCGTCGCCGGCGACGCCCAGAAGCGACGGGGGAAAAAGGGGGGCGTCGAGGGGGCGTCGTCTAAATAGCAGGGGGGGGAATCATAGAGATCGCTGACGCGCAGGATGTCGAGCCAGAATTCCGTCTCCGAGATGGGTCCAGCCGCGGCGGCACGGGCCGCCCCCGACGTGCCGCCACGGTTCGTCGCCCTAGTGCCCCGCAGTCCCGTTGGGCACTCCTGTTGGCCCAAGTGGCCCGTTCCATCTCCCAGTTGCACTCGCGCAGATAGTTTGGAGGCGCGAGCGCGCCGCGCTTCTGAGGCTAAGCGTATTTGCGTATCCCCCAGGGCCCCGCTCCCGTTCCGCCCCCTCGTCGCCGCCTCTTTCTTGCATTTACTTCAGTCCTCGCCTCGCAGCTGATGTCCCCCGCCCCTCGTGGCCCCAGGCAACCTTCGAGACGCCGCCCTGTCGGTCTGCATTTGTTTTTTTTTTTGGGGGGGGGGGCCCGCGGCCTCGCGACCCTTCTCCGACGTCGGTTCGCGGCCGCCCGCGCTCTGTGCACTTGCCGACCAAAGCTGTTTCGGCCTGCGCCGCGCGACCAGGCCTCGCGCCCCGGAGCCACCCGCTCATCGTGGGACTCCCAGATCCGACGACTCGCCGCGCGCCATGTCTGGAGATGGCGTTGATGATAAGCGCCGCCGTCTGAGGTCGAAGACGCCGTCCAGCCCGCCGGGCCCTCGCTCGGCCAAGCGCGCGCTGGCCGCGCCGACGCCCCCGATCCATGCGACGAGGTGCTTTCCCAGTTGAGGCGTTCGACGCTGGAGGGTCTGGGTCGAATCAAGCAAAGAAACTCAAGACTGCAGCAGATGTTCTGCAGCCGAAGGCCGACGATTGGCTGTTTTTGCCAGACGCGTCAGTTGAGGAAAAGTTCGGAAAGCATCATGCGGCCAAGATGGTCAAGGTCCTGATGATGAGCTGCATGGCGACTTCCTGGGGCCAATGGTGGCCCTGTGGCCCTTGTAGCAGTAGCCTTGTAGTCTGACTTGGACTTGCCACTTGGGGTTTTGTTTCAACATTCCCATCTCAGCAATGATGCTTTATTCGCCCCACCCCCCGCGACGGCCGCTGCCTCCCCGTTGCAAGTGGCCGTGGCGACCCATGGGTGCAGCGTCCTCCTGGCCACCGTTCCGAGCTTCGGGCTTTCGGTCATGGTTTGAATGCTTCAATTTCTGCGGGCGCGTCGGCTTTTGCTACTGGGGGGCCCAGGCGAGCGCGCAGCGGCGGACCGAGGGCCAATGCATGTTTGTTGCTACGGGGCCACTGCTCTTTTTCATGTGTGCCCATTTCCCGGCGGGCCCAAACACTTCACAGGTGAACCCAGGTGGCCCAGATGACCGCTCGATCCATCCCTGGCGCGACGCGGGCGACGCGGGAGAACGCCGGCGCGCGATCCAGAAGCAGGATATGGCAGTGAACATACCATCGGGATATGGCAGTGAACATTGCCGATCTCGCGAAAGGTGCCTGGGCGCGGGCCTGGTGGGATCGGGCGGGGGGGTAGATCGCCGTGCTCGGCAGCGAGGATCATTGCACAGGGTGCGCTGTCGAATCCGTCGCTCCCCGTTGCGCCTCGAGACCAGGGGGGCCAGAGGTGTCTCGCGTCTGGGGTTTGCATATTTGCTGAGCACGCGCGAGTATTACTAAAGGTACATAAGGGCCCGCGGCGGGGCGTGGCGGGCATATCCCCAAGGCGCCTCGCTTCCAGGGATCGCTGAACGTGGCTTCGTAGGAGGGGTCACCGGGGGGCCCTGGTTACAATGGTCGCAGGGCCCAAACGGCAGCCGAGCATATTCCCTGCTCGCTTTCACGTGTGGGAATCCCACGGACGGCATCTACCGGGCGTTAGAACAGTTTGGTATTGCTTTGCCTTGTCAAGAGCTTCTCCAGGATTGAGGGGCGGCATGCGTCAGTCGGCGGGTTCGGCGTGCAGGCGTCGCCTTCCTCTGCTGGCCTCGAAGTTTCAGCGGGGACAGTTCCCATCGCGGGTGCGCCAAGTCCTTCGCCCCTCCGCCGAAGCTTCGGGGCCGGGCGGCAACGGCGTCAGACTGCAGACCGACCTTGCTTGCCATTGCCAGTCCAGTCGCTGCTGCGTCCAGGAGGGCCTCGCGGGCATCAGCGAGTTTCACCAGAGGACGCCGTCGAACGCCGTCGCGGTGCCGCTGCAGGAGCCCAACAGCTATCACAAGGGCATTGGCGTGACCTTCGCAGACAAAGTGATTGGACATGCGCCAACACTTCAATTGCCCAAATTTTGCCGCGGCCACCCGCGGACGCCAAGGCGCCTCGTGGAACGGCCCGCGCGCTCGAATCTGGGAGTTTTGCACATAGTCTGTTTGCGTTGTCCAGGCTCGCGGGGCGGCAGGGCCCCATGGACTGGGTAGTTTGGTGTGTCTGTGTCTGGGCTCGCGGGGCCTCGTTCGCCCCTCCTCTTGCGTAGGTGATGTCGGCGGGTCCCTGCGCAGCTACCCGGCGCAGCGTGAAGAAGGTCAGGTCGGACGATCCCAAGTGCTGCAGGCACTGGTGGGAGTGGGTCTGCAAGTCTGACTTGCACTCGAAGGCGCGGGCACCAGAGGAGGACTTGAAAGACTCGATGGCCTCTCCCATCGCCCTTTCTCACGTGCCGCCCTCCCATTGTTCCCCTTCCAACGCAGCGGTTCCCCCGCGGGTTTCTGGCGATCGCTCGGGGCGATCCGGGCGCCTCCGCAATGCCCTCGACGAGGCGCAGCCGCTGGAAATCGCCCCGAGGTGACGCTGGGGGGGCGCGACATTGGGCCAATGACCACGCTCCATTTTCGCGACCCGCAGATCGTGTGCGGCAAGCTGCGCGACCTTGGCGTGTTAGAGGAGGTGGCGAGCTTCTGGCCCCGGCGAGTGAGGTTCTCGGATGCAGCACTGAACCGCCGGGACACCATCATCCATGATTGGGCCATTTCGATGGAGATGCTCGCCGCTGTGCGCAAGGAGGCCCTTCAAGTTCTGCGCGCCAGCCGCGACCGACGTCGACTGCGACGACGCGACCGTCACCTCCGACATTCCGAATATTCCGTGGATCTTTGATAGGTCAGGGGGCGAGGTGCAGGATGAGATGAAGCTGTCGTTGACGCCGATGGCTGAAGCGATTGCTTGCAGGAAGCTCGCCGCCATCAAGCGCTGGCTGAGCCCGAAGGCAGGCGCCGACAAGAAGGCAGAGTTGGAGGAGAAGCGCGTCGCTGCAGCGGGGGCAGAGGAAGAGGTGGCAGCGCTCGAGGTATCGAATCACACAAATGCTTTGCCCTAGGCGAAGGCCTCGGCGAAGAGGCTTGCTAAGGAGTGCGAGAAGTTCAAGGAGAAGCTCGAGGGGGCGACCGCGGGCCCAGAACTGGCAGGCTACGCCCCGACGGTCGCGACCTCGAAGCGCATCCAGAAAGGCGCCGGCAGGCGGTCGACCGCCGCTCTCGAGGGCCATTGCTTCAATGTTGACGCAACCCTGAAGATTGCTGGCGCAGATGGGGCCCCCCCGGCCCGCGTGCAAATGCTCGGAGATCTCACTGCGCATGTGTTTCTTGTCTTCTCGTGGCAGAAGACCGCGACCTACCGCGGCAAGGCGGCGGCAGAGCGCCCGCGGCCCGGGGGCCGAAACAGCGTGACAGGGCAAGGCCCAGGCGCGCAGCATCGCATCTACATTGACACTGTTGACCCGTATGTTTCTCATCAGTTCGGCAGGGGTCGCGCAAGGCGGGGCGGGGGCGAGGCGGGGGGGCTCAGCGGAGGAGGAGGATGACAAGTAGGAGGAGGGGGGGGGGGGGGGGGGAGGAGGAGGATGGAGAGGGCGCCGGGGTGCCCCCTCGCACCAGGCGCTCGAGCTGCGAGGGGAGATCCAGAACATCCGCGCGCGATGGGGGGCCGATGATGCCCTCGCTGGCCCCGCGCGGCGCGGTGATTCAGGCGGGTTCAAAGTCGGGGGCGGCGACTGCCATGGAGCTTGCGAATAGATTTCTCATTGCTTCATCCTGTGGTTCTGCTTCATAAGCTGGGGCGGGCGGAGGGCGTGAACGGCGATGGAGGGGGTGGCGAGGCGCGGGAGATAATGGGCCCCACTTGGGTTCGATGCGCGCTTGTAAGACTTACAGACTATTGCCACCAACCACCCATGATATTCATTTTCTCCTGTTGCTCATTCGACGCTGCTGCGCGTGGCCCCCGAGGTTCGGAGCCGACCAGTGCGGCGGCCGCGCGTGACTCTGGCTCGCTTGCTGATGCGGCTAATGCTTCTTGCCTCGGCGACGTGGCGGCCTTCCTTCGCGAGAACGACGCGTCGCTGCCCGCCCAGGCGCAGAGCGCATTCACTACGCTACTCAAGGCGGCGCTGAATGATTCCAAGACGTGGGGGGATCTCTGCAAGAAACCACATGGCGAGCACGCGGGCGCGGTATCCGGCTGCATCTCGAAACGCATCGGCCTGGTCTTCAAGTTTTCATGGCGCGTTACCTCGCTGCAGGCGTCGAAGGCCGCGGCCGAGAAGGGGGCGATTCCAGAGACGGCCTCGCCATCATTCAGGGGCCCTGCCCACCTCCAAGAGTTCATGTGCATCCGAACTAAGTGCACCCGCGAGCTGTTGAAACTCGCGTCGTCGCCCCGTCTTTGTGGCCGTCTTGTTGGGTCAGCGGCGGTGGATGTCATTGCCCCCGTGGGTGCGCGTGCCTCGTCGCCAGAGAGCTGGAAGTCCCTGCGGGCGCAGATCGCCTTGGCACCGGCGGCGTCGTCCGAGGCCCCGGCGCAGCAGATCGGCGACTTGCTGTTGGGGCAGGCGAAGCAACCAGAGCACTTGCCAGTCCAGACCCCGACTCCCGTCGCCGTCAAGAGTGAGCTTCCAGTCGGGCCTCCACCTGTGCAAGCGGGCGCTGGCGGGGCTCGCCCAGTCCGCGCCGAGGTTGCGATGTTAGGGTAACCTGCTGAGGGGCGGGGTGGGGGTGAGACAAACTGCAATTTGATATGGTTCACGTTCGGATCCTGGGCCCTGTCGGTTCGACTACCCCCAAAACATCCTGTTGGTCAGCGGCGAGAGACAGCTGGCAGAACGCGTCGCCTACTTCCCGAAGCAGGTAACCCAACATCTGCCAGTCTTCCAGTCCTCTTCGGCCGAAGTTAGTTGGAAGACCAGACCTTTTTTTGAGTTCGGCCCGCAGGTCCGAAGTGAATTCGCCCGACTCGCCGACGTTATGTCGGGTTAATGACTTCGCACTTTCGGATCTGATCGGCCCCGGAGGTGGACGCGGCGGGGGGGGGGGGGGGGCGACGGGCATCTCAGCGCAGTCTTTGGTCGCGACCGCAATGCCGCCGACGCCAGCTGCCACGCTCGAGGAGCTGTTTGAAATTCCTTCAGGATTTGGAGTCTCGTCTTATCCCGTGCCGCACATTGCCGGCTCGCCAAACTGTTCGCCCTCAAAGAGACCAAGACATTCCTTCACCAGACTGTAGGCAGCATCTTTGCCAACTCCTTCATGGGCGAGGGCGAGTTGAGCGGTGGGCGATAGTGCATTGCGGGACTTGCGAGGGTTGACGTGACGCCGTGTACTTCGAGTGCAATCCATTGGATGTCAATCGATATCCTCGGTGATTAGCGACACCCTTTTCTGGCTTGGCGCTGATTCATTGGCCTTGGGAAGGGCTGCCGTGACGTCCAGGTTCTGCCAATCGAGAAGAAGCTGTCCGCGGCCACCGCGGGTGCTCCAGATCTCTCACTCGCGCTGTACTTGGCGGGCAACGTCACGTCCGTGCGGGCTCCGAAATTGTGCTCGTGGATCACTCGGATCTATGGGGTGGACTTCTACGTATCAGGTGGGCATGGGTATGCCACTGTGTGTGCTTTGGGGTGTTGGCTTTGTTTCGGGGTGTCTTCCGAACGCTCGGGTTGCCTGTTTGCCTGCGGGCGGAGCACTCGCGATGTCCACGGAGAGCCCGCTGGGAGCGGAGCAGCGACTCGTCGCTTCTCCGATCCCAGAGGCCATGCGTTTCTTCATGGGGATCGCCCCTCCTCCTGCCTCCGCCCCGTCCTCTCCCCTTCCCTCGCCGTGCCCCCTCTTCTTTTCCTGCCCCTCCTCCTCCTCGTTCTCTCCCCCCCTCCTCCTCGTCGTCATCTTACTCAGCCACCTAGATGTTCCTTCGCCCATCTACTCGTCTACTCAGCTCTTCCCCTAAGGTCAAGGGTTCGAGCGGCTGACTTCTGATTCCGTCGTCGCGGCATATGCGTTGCCCGTGGAGAAAGATGAGAAGGCCACCGTGCAGCTGGAGAGCGAGGCTGTCGTCGTGCGCCACAACCCATCGGCCGCCCTTGGACATCAGCGGGCCGCGTCGGCCACGGAGCGGGGCGCGCTGCAGGCCCAGGCGCCCCGCCGCCGGCCTCGCCGCAGGTTGAGGCCCAGCCCCAGAAGGCCCCGGCCGCGGCAGCACCGGCGGACCCTGCCTCTTCGACCCCGCCGCCGATCAGCGCGCGTTTGCGCCTCTGCTACTTCCTTACCCAGACAGGGGCAATATTGGCGCCCCCGAGTCTGGCAGCCTGTTCATGCTCTCACGCGGCAAGTCGTGCTACGACGCCTTGATGTTGCGGCCTGGGGGGGGGGGGGGGGCGAGGCCGCGGCTCGGGGCCCTGCGCCTGCCCCAAGGTTTGCTGTCGTTAATGCCCTCGCGAGTGCGATGAAGTCGGGCCCTCGGGCTGCGGGAGCTGATGGGCCCAACGTGGACGACGAGCCGGTGGATCAGAAGGGCGCCGCCTCGCTGGATCACATCTCCATGTGATCCAGCGAGTGCTCTCTAGATATGGGATGGTGGGATGGGGCAGGGGCGGGGGTGGGGCGGGACAACATCGACCAATTCTGCGATGCAGTTGGCCCCTCACGCCTGGGCGATAACACGCATGCTTCGCGCGTTCTCTAGGCCATCCGCGGGGGCGCGACGGTAATCGCCGCGTTTCGCGCGGCGTGGTCTGGGGGTGGCCGCCCTGCTCCAAGGACTCGAAGGGGGCGGCGCGAGGGCGCGAGCGTCGCGCGTCGTGGGGCGTGGTGCGCGAAGTTAGGTGGCATAGTTTCACGTTCGCTCGCGCGTCGTTCAAACTATGTAGTAACTAACTCGCATCAGCAACGACACCAACGCTGGTAACCTTCTCCCGCTCCCTCTCATCATCCTCCGCGCCCCCTTCCTCCCATCACCTCGCTTTCACCAGGGAGCTCCGGGGCAAATATAAATGCCCCCTACCAGACGCGGAGCCCCCTGCTCTTCTCCCAATTCGACGCCCCTCGGGCCATCTGGGCCTCGTACAGGGCGTTCTCGAGGCCATCGAGCCCCTCCAGGGACTGGCGCCAGCCGACCCCTCTTCTGCGGGCGCTCACGCGCTCACTCCAGACTTTTGGCCACTTTTGCTGCTTGTGCCGCGCCGCAGCCAGGCCCCGTTCATATCAGTGGACTTGCAAGTTCACCTCCCAAGCGACGGACGCGCGCGAGGCGCAGCGCCATGGCGCAGCAGCGACGCCGCCCTCCACCCCATCACCACATCATCATATCAGCTGCCCAGTCGCCCTCGTCAGGCCCTTCAGGCCCATAGAATGCCATGGGGCCCACCACTGAACGACCGCGGCCGGGCCGCGGCCGCGATCGGTTCAAGGTTGGCCGATCAACGCGGTGCCAAAATCCGGTGTGCGCGCCGACGCTGCGCGCCCCTGCCGAGGCCTCGTTCTCTCCTCACCTCATCGCCTTCCTCTTCATCATTCGTGCTCGTTTTTCTCCTGCTCCTCCTCTTCCTGCGCCCCCGTCCCTCCTCCCGCCTGCTCAGCTCGCGACCCCGCCTCCTCCCCCTCCTCCCCATCACGCCCTCCGACCCCTTCCCCCCCCGACCTGCGAAGGTCGATCCGACCGGGGTCCCAGGGTCACATGTTTCGCGCAATGCCGCGAAACAGATTGCACATTCCTCCGAGCTGGTCCAGCGACGACGGGATCGATGAGAGGGGGGGGGGGGGGGGGGTGGGGGGGGCAGCTCGGGGCCCGTGGTGAGGTGGCGAGACGGGGGGAAGGAGCGTGGATGGAAGGAAAGGGCGCTGTTTTCCGTTGCCGGATCGTTCGTCTCGCCCGCCCCTCGCATCCATTCCTCCTGGGAGAGGCCCGATCTGTTAGTTAGTCGGGCCCCCGAGGGCCCCGATCCCCTCCCAGTGGGCGGTGGGGCCCCGAGGGCCCCGATCCTCTTCCAGTGGGGGCGGTGGGGCACGGCCCGTCTCTGTGCGCTGTTGCCGCCGCCACCGAGTTGTTCGGCCCCCCTCCCCCCCCCGGTGGGGTGCCCCCGAACCGAATCTTCAGCATCCAATCGTTGCCGCATCCCTTGCCCTTACCCTCGTCGGGGGGGCGCGGGAACGGGGCCCACTCTCGCGGGGGCGGGGGGTTGGGGGGGCACGGGCCGAACGCTTTGTCACACCTTTCTCTGATCCCCCCTCTCCCGCTGTCGCCCCGCGGCCCCGCTCCGCGCGGCGATGCCTTGCGGCGGCGCTGCGGCCCCGCCCCGCGGGGCTCGGGCTCGCGCGACCCGTCGCGCTGGCGCTCGAAGGCGCGCGCGTCGCTCGCTCGCGCGTCCGCGGCCGCCGCTCTCTGCCCCTTTCCCGTTCGCCTGCCATCGCCCTTTTTTCCTCCTCCCCGCGGGGTTGAACAAACAACTTTCAGCATCTCGTCGCCCCTCCCCCACGACCAGTCTCTCCATGGCCCGCCCCCCTCATTGCCAAGGGGGGGCTCAAGGTGGCCCCCCCGCGCCCCAGGGGGGCTTTCAAGGGGTCGTGGCCCGCGGCCCCCCCAAACCCAGGCTTCGCCTCTTGATCGCACTGGGCCCCCCCCAGCGGACGAGGTCAGAGTGATGGTCGACCGGGCCGCGGCCAAAACAAATGGAGGAGCGCGCCGAAAGTTTCAACGCGCAGTTCAGCCCCCCCCCCCGGAGGGCGGCATTTGCTGGGGAGACCTCGGCCGCCAGATGGAAACAGCAGTGGAGGGCCTCCTGGCCGACCCCGCGCCGCCCGCAGTCCTCTTCCCCGCCGCGGGGGTCCACCCCCGCAAGCACAGCGAGGGCGCCCCCTTCGACCCCCCCCCCCAGTTGGGCAGGAAAGCTTGGAGCCACTTGGGATGCCTGCACGACGTGGGGCTCGAACTTGACGCCGGCGACCTGGTGCGCGCCATGACCTGGGCCACCCTGGCCTGGCCGGTCGGCCCGGGCACCCCCTGGGGCGCCCCCCGGTGCCAGATCTGCCCCAAATAGCTCCCCCCGCGTCCGCAAGTTCAGGGAAGAGCTGCCCGGCGACCCCAGAACAGAGGCCGCTGCACCCCCTGACCTCCGCCAGATCCCCCAAGCATGGTCCGCCGGGGCCAGGTGCTTCCCGCGTCGCCTCGTCTATCTAGGCTTCGATGGATTGGCCAGCCTACTACTGCAGGGCCACGAAGAACCTGCACAACGCCGAGTCGACTTGCTCGACCCCAACGACCACATTATGCCCACCGAGAGGGCCCGCGCTGTGCTCTCGTGATCATGCTGCTCATCAAACGCGAGCCACGAGCGCGCCTCTGGCCCTCCCCGACCCCTCCGGGTCTGGAGACACCCTCGAGGCCATCCTGGGAGTCGCTGCTGCCTCTGGCAAAACGACCACACCCACTTTCGCTCCCAATTCGCGGCTTCATGAGGTCTCGCGCTTGCTGACCTCCGCGGGCTCCACGGCCGGCTCGAGTCCCTGATCGCCCTCGTGGGCAAGCTCGTAGTCGCCGCCCGCCACCGCCCCGCCGCCAAGCAAGCGAACTGCCCCACTACCTATGCCGAGATGGAGAAGTTCCCCTTCAAGCTGAAGGCCCCGATGCTGGTCCTGGAGAAGATCGTGAAGCCTGCCGACCTCGGCATCCTATCTAGGTCAGAAC